TACGCACTGGAAGAGGTACTTGTGACTGCAGCCAGAATCTCAACACCACAACAGACGGACGTGCAAAAAATCAAATTCAAAACGAACCAGCAATTTGAATAGCTTATCCAAGAAAAGAGGCGTCTGCGACGGGCGTGGCAAACCAATAGATCGCCATGCTCAAAGCAACGTCTAAATGAAGCCACACGCAAACTAAGCCGGGCCCTGAAGCAAGATGCCGAAAAAGCACAATTAAGATATATTGAAAAACTCTCGCCAACCAGCACAAAGCATCCCTTATGGAGAGCTCACCCAAATTTAAGCTCACCGGCTGAAACTATCATCCCGGTAAGAAAGTCATCTGGTTGCTGGGCCCGCAGCGACAAAGACAGAGCCGAAACTTTTGCCTCACATCTCCAGGGCGTTTTCCAGCCGAACCCTGCTGCAAATCCATTTGAACTACCGCAAATCCACACTGAAACGGAATCTACTCCAGCATCATTTCGTCCGAACGAGATAACGAAGGTCATCAGGGAACTGAAGCCGAAAAAGGCTCCCGGCGATGACCTAATAACTCAAAAAATGATAATTGAACTTCCGAATTGTGCTATTGAGGTCATCTGTAAAATCTTCAATGGGATCATAAGTCTCGGCCACTACCCAACTAAATGGAAAAAATCTATAATTATAATGATACCGAAGCCCGGAAAAGACCACACGATTCCATCATCCTACCGACCAATAAGTCTACTATCATGCTTGTCCAAGTTATTTGAAAAATGCCTACTAAAGCGCATAATTCCTTATCTGGGAGCTCACAACATCATCCCAGCTCATCAATTTGGCTTCAGAGAAAAACATGGAACTATCGAGCAAGTTAACAGAATAACATCAGAAATTCGCACAGCCTTCGAGCATCGAGAATATTGCAGCGCGATATTTCTCGACGTTTCTCAAGCATTCGACCGCGTCTGGCTCAACGGCCTCATGCACAAAATAAAAACACTCTTGCCGGTATACACACACAAATTACTTGAGTCGTATCTCTACAACAGAGTCTTCGCAGTGAGGTGCAACGCAACAACATCCGGCACCTATTCAATCGAAGCTGGAGTCCCACAAGGAAGTGCACTTGGGCCTACCCTATTTGTTCTATACACAGCGGATATCCCCACAAGCGACCAGCTAACATTATCCACTTTCGCTGATGACACTGCGATCCTCAGCCGTTCCAGATGCCCAGTCCGTGCAACAGCCCAGCTCGCCAGCCACCTCAAGGTAGTCGAGATGTGGCTATCTGATTGGCGTATTAAAATAAATGAACAAAAGTGTAAGCACGTAACGTTCACCCTCAACAGACAAACATGCCCTCCGCTCTACCTGAACAGCACGCAGATCCACGAAGTCAACGTGGTAACGTACCTGGGCGTCCACCTGGACCGACGCCTGACATGGCGAAGACATATTGAATGCAAGAAACTTCATACAAAACTAAAAGCCAGCAGCCTCCACTGGCTCATAAACTCCCGATCGCCCCTGTGTCTGGACTACAAGGTCCTGCTCTACAACTCCACACTAAAGCCAATATGAACGTATGGCTCCCAGCTCTGGGGGAACGCGTGCAGTACCAATCTAGACATCATACAGCGCGCCCAATCAAAAATCCTGAGAACTATCACTGGGGCACCATGGTATATTCGCAACGAAAACATCCACAGGGATCTCGGCATTCCTGCAGTTAAGAACGAAATAGAAAAACAAGAAGCGTCCTACAAGGAAAAACTCTCCACCCATCCAAATCCTTTAGCAAGGGACTTGATACGAGTTTCCAGAAGAAGCCGCCTACTACGTAACGACCATCCAACCCAGCCATAATTATTCAGGGCCATTTACTCAGTACCAGTCTCATGACTGCTAGTTAGGTAGTATTGTAAGATTTGATACACTTATTGTTAGTCTCATAAATGAGAAGATTCAATAAATAAAAGCAAAGCCTAAAAAAAAAAAAAAAAAAAAAAAAAAAAGTAAACCCCCAAAGAATAGGAACAAAAAAGCTTTGCATCCCAGAAGAGGTAACAAGATAATTAACCTGCGAGTTAAACAGCACAGAAGAAAGAAAAATTTTTTTTTTAATTTTATTTTAGGGCAGGACCATGCCCATTTTCCTGAAATATATTACTATTTGTATTATTAAAATATATCAAAAAAAGAAGAGACGCGAGAGCTTACGACGACGACGAAAAATAAGTTAAAACAATTGAAAACTATTACAAACTATTCTAAAAACATGTAACCGATTCACTTTATTCTAAACTAAACTATTTACTGTAAAATACCATTAAATACTATAATAAAACTTAAAATTAGTGGGAGTTCTTATTTAAAAAGGAAACCAATCCCACAAATATGGGGGCTCAACCTATGTGATAAAGTGCGATTAAAAGACGATGAAAAACTGATCTAAAAGGACGAAAAATTGATTTAAAGTGTTCAAATTTCGAGTGGAGGAATTCTGAAATTCAAAACGAAGACGACGCTACACACACATCTCCAGCAAGCACTTGAAAGATCGTAATTATCTTGAGGAGTCTTTTTCGACTCATCAAAATGATGAAAAAAAGATTTGTCTTATGCGCGACTAATAAATGACTCGAAAATGACTCCAAAAAGAGTCGTAAATGACCTTTAAATACGATTTATAAAATAGCAAAACAAAATTGTAAAGAAATCGAAAATTGATCATCCAGATGATTGAAATGAGATTATTTTTTGCATTCGGTCAGAGAACTTGGCGAGCCTAATCGCGCGCTCTCCCATTTACGTGCATTGTGATATCTGCCTTATCTCGTTTATCTTTTTTAAGCGGTACTTTTCGCAAAATTTGAATCGTTTGCTCTTATGTTCTGCATTTTTAAGCTAAGTTTTAGTAACTTGCTAAGCTTAGTGAGAATAGGTAATGTGTGCCAAAGATCGTGTATCAAGAAGAAGGCGATTGGAATACTTAAGTTTTTAGTGATATTATTTGTTAAATTTGAATTATTATTATTTCATATAAAAATATATATACCAATAAAAAATACAGCAACAAAATATTATGAAATATTTAATTTATTTTCACTTCTAATATGCCTCGAAGAAGAGTCCCTAATTACTATAAATGGGACTCAAAAATGATTCCCTTATTGCTACAAATATGACTTGCAAACGTTCAAATTTCGATTCAAATATGACTCGAAAAAGAGTCCCCTCTTGGCAAAAAGAGGAGTGGGAAACGACTCTTCCAGAAGAGTCGCGGCTAGGGGTCCATTTTCTCCCGAAGACAGCGTCATTTATTATCAGAAAATGAGCGCTTATATGCTTATTTTAATCAGAAAGGGGAGTCGATGACTGACAGTTAGTTGGGATTTTCACAAAGCAAATAATTGAGGTTAAAATTTTTCCACAATGTTAACAAAACGTTTTGCAGCTATTAGAGCCCCTATGAAGATCCAACGTGATCAGCGGAGCACGGGAGATTTGTTTTTTACCTGAACCTGATTTGTTTTTACCCTGTCACCAGCCGCTGGCCGGCCAGTCGCACTTGTGCGAAAACAAACTTTGTCAAATATATTGGTCACCACGAGCACTTGCACTTCCGATTTGCCATCTAGGCTAACACAGGTATTTATGCCACCATTGTGGACTTGTCTATATGGGGGTAATTGCAATTTAGTTGATTTTTTCTCAGGAGCTGTACGTATGCACATTCGTTCACGTCGGTGTGCCAGAGCGAGTGATTGGATAAAATCAAAATAAAATTATAAAATGTTTAATTGTAATAAAAGTAAAGTAAAGAAAAACAAACTGTAATACTGAAAATATGTAAGATTGTAAATATGTTAAGATTGTAATTAAGTTATAACATTAAGACAGAGATAGAGTGCATTAAGTCAGCACGGCCGAGTTGTAACAGAACAGGAAATGTAATCATGATCTGGTCACACTTTCGTTGAGCTTCGCTTTCTGAGAGAGCAGGTCACTCTCTTTCTCAGAGAGCGCTGCTTATAAATTTCGGAGGTTGAAATTCACGCTGCCAGCGAGCAGCAGATAATTATTTTATGAGAAGCCAAAAAAACAAAGACGTAGATTGAAAAGACGGAATAAACAGGAAATAAAGAAAACTGAATAAAATAACATACATATACCACAATATTCACCAGGCGACACGTACAAATAGATAAAATATTGGGAACAACAATTACAACGCAATACTAAACCGAGAAAGTATTAGAAAATACAACGAAACAACAAAACAAAATGTTTATTTTTGTATTTTTATTTTATTTTATAAAATGTTAGAATAGCTTTGTAAAACTAAAACTAACAAAAACAAAAACACTACAATTAAAACACAACACAACATTAAAAACTAAATAAAAATTACATCATTATCTCGTTGACTTTTTTTACCAACATGCTTGGAAACAACCATGGCCGTCGACTATTCCACATTTTCGAGCTTGAGAACTTAAAAGATCACTTTTACTAATGGAAATAAATAGTTTACTTAGTAGTCGATTGATGTTTATTCCACACCACCACTTTGGCACGTAGTTGTTTGTACGTGTTTTGAATGTTGTGTTATAGTCACAAGTTTATTTTATTTTTTTTTTCGCGGTGTTACGCTTTTACCTCCCGCCCAACCGACCGAGGGCCACAGCCGTGTGTAGACGCGTTAGACTGAAAGAAAATAAAAGAACGAAGAAGAACTACGAGCAAATTCTAAAAGTATTAAGGTTTGAAGACTGGGTTGATTGGATTAATAACCTTATCACTATTTACAATAAAATCATAGAGGCGGTTGTAATCATGTATTTTAAACTCCCGTTTTCAGTGATTTATGATTATGATTTTGCCAAAAAGTTCTTTAGTTACATGTTAAGCGTTTTAATGACTTTGTGATAGATGTGGCCACTATAAACTTAAATGACTACGAACCACAGAATTACGATTAATTCTAAGCCAACAATTTATTTTTTCAGCCCTCCAAGTCAAGACGCCTTGTTCCACATCCTCAACTCTATATTGTCACAGCACTTGGAAAATCCGTCGCAAAAATTCGATAGGTCAGTTGTAAAGTTATGCGAAAGCATGGTAACTACAGCTATCACGCTCCATATGAAGGTGGCTTCGTCTTTTTTACCAACTGCCATAAAGTTCCACTACAACTTTAATCTTCGAGATATTGCAAACATATTTACGGTAAGACAAAAGAAATTTTTTTTTAATTTGCAACCCTAATATGCTATTTATTTCTAGGGTGTTCTCTATGCTAACAACGAGACCTGTTCGAACGCTAATCAAATGATTCGTCTATGGATTCACGAATGCTACCGCGTCTATGGTGATAAGCTGGTTGACTATACCGATATCAATAACTTTAAAAAAATCGTAACTGATGTTGTGCGCAAAGGGATTGAGGGTTTAAATGAAGAAGTGATTTACGCACAACCACTAATTTACTGTCATTTTGCAAAAGGTTTGACTGACATCAAATATATGCCCATATCTGGCTGGGAACGGCTAAAAAGTCTGTTAGACGAGGCACAAGATCGCTATAATGACTATGTAGGAGCCATCAATCTAGTTCTTTTCGATGACGCTATGTCACATGTATGTCGTATAAGCCGCATCCTTGAATCGTCTCGGGGCTATGCGTTGCTAATCGGTGTTGGGGGTTCAGGGAAACAGTCCCTAACTCGCTTAGCTTCATTTATTTCCTCATTGGACGTTTTCCAGATTCAATTGACAAAGGACTATAACGTAAACGATTTAAAGGGAAACATCGCTACTTTGTATATGAAAGCTGGCGTAAAGACCACTGCCTGCTGCTTCCTCATGACCGACTCGGAGGTAGCTCGGGAGCAATTTCTAGTGCTAGTGAATGACCTCCTTGCTTCTGGTGACATTCATGAACTGTTTGCTGATGACGAAGTGGAAAATATTGTGAACGCTGTGCGTAATGAGGTCAAACAGCTTGGTATATTAGACAATCGCGAGAACTGTTGGAAATACTTTATTGAGAAGGTTCGCAGTTTGCTTAAGGTAGTACTCTGCTTTTCGCCTGTAGGTGCAACTCTTCGTGTCCGTTCTCGAAAATTTCCAGCTTTAGTAAACTGTACAACTATTGATTGGTTTCACGAATGGCCTCAACAAGCATTGGAGTCTGTGTCACTTAGATTTTTATCTGAGATCACTGTGTTGCCAAAAGAGCTCGCATTTCCAGTGTCTAATTTTATGGCATTTGTTCATAAAACAGTCAATGACATCTCTAAGCTTTATTTAGCCAACGCCAAAAGATATAACTACACAACACCTAAGTCCTTCCTTGAGTTAATAGCACTCTATTCAAAACTTCTAAATGAAAAAGTTAAAGCTAATCTAGATCGCCGTTTGCGCTTGGAAAATGGTCTAATTAAATTGGCTAGTTGTACAAAAGAAGTGGATGCGTTGCAGGACGTCCTAAAGGTCCAAGAGGTCGAGCTGAAGGTTAAAAACCAGGAAGCGGATAATTTAATTGTAGTTGTAGGTACTGAAAATGAAAAAGTGTCAAAGGAAAGAGCCTTTGCCTCAAAAGAAGAGAAGAACGTCCGTCAAATAGAGGAAGATGTTACTGCAAAAGCAAAACTTTGCGAAGAGGATTTTCTTAAGGCGCAACCAGCTCTGATTGCTGCTCAAGAGGCACTTAACACTCTGAACAAAAACAATCTTACAGAACTTAAATCATTTGGATCGCCACCTGATGCTGTAGTTAGTGTGTGCGGTGCAGTTTTGGTGCTTTTCGCAAGCAAAGGAAAAATTCCTAAGGATCGCAGCTGGAAGGCGTGTCGTGTTCTGATGAGTAATGTAGATAAATTTCTCGACAATTTAATTAACTATGACAAGAAACACATTCATCCCGACGTTATAAAAGCTCTTCAACCCTATATTCTCGATCCTGAGTTCAGCCCCGAAAAGATTTTGGCTAAATCTTCAGCAGCTGCAGGATTGTGTTCATGGGTTATTAACATTAACCGGTTCTATGATGTATACCTTATTGTTGAACCAAAAGAAAGAGCCCTTATGGAGTCAGAAAAAGAATTAAAGGACGCTCGGGATAAGTTAACGGCTCTAAATCAAAGGCTCACTGAACTGGAGGAACAATTAAATGCACTGCAAATGGAGTATGATGAAGCTCTTGGGAAAAAACAGAAATGTCAGGATGAAGCTGATAAAACTGCATTTACCATAGATATTGCAAACCGATTAATAGGCGGCTTGGCGACTGAAAAAATACGATGGATGGAATCAGTAAAAAGGTAAAATGTAATATTTGAATTTTTTTATAATTCCAAAACTAAAAGTCGTATTACGCTTAAGTATATGTTAACTATAACGTGTGCCAGTATTTTTATTAATAATTTTAAAATGCAAAAAAAAATGTATACAGATACTTGCTAAGGTTTTTTGAGACCATTAGTAAAACAGCAACCTGACACACTATTTTAACTTAATCATTTTCTATAAAAGCTATTAGTTGTGGTGCCTTATACATTGTTCACGACAGGAGGCCCCTGTCCCCTCTCTGCCCACCGAGCTTCCAAAAACTCAAGCGCTTCCAGCTTAGCAACGCTCACCCGCTCTCCGCTCCTCGGTATTCCCCATCGCACGCTCCCGTGTTCCCGATCGTCGCCAGCGGATAGTCGAGCTTAGAGACGGCTACTCCGCTCCAATTACAGCTCTCCCGCTCTCGCGCTGTTAAGCGGCGCTTCTCGGTCGGCAGCGGGCCCTTAGGCTAAGCTTAGTCAGTACCCAAACGACCGTCAATATATGTATGCAACGGGCGCTCCAGCCACTGTCATATTCGACCCCCGAATTTCTGCGTTTTCTTTTTCGTGGGATAAACTTTTAAACTTTTGCGGAGAATTTCCTGGCCACCCCCCTGCTGAACATACATTATAATTCATGTAATATTTTTTATCAAAATAATTTAAATTATAACAAAATATAACAGCTGCATTTTTGAGATACCTGTCTGAACATAACATAAAAAGTATTCAATGCAATATTCGGTTTTTACCATTTGCCAAACGAAATTTAATAATACATTTTTTGTAGCCTCACTTCAGGTATACAACAACTGCCTGGAGATATTTTAATCATATCCTGCTTTATTTCTTACGTTGGATGCTTTACGCGAGCTTATCGACAGGAGCTTCAAGACAAAATGTGGATGCCGGCTTTTAAAAGCAGCCAGGTAAAATATGCCTCAAGAAAAGAGCGTATTGTTGTTTAATTAAAAATGTTTTTAAAGCCTTCTATTCCTTCAACGGACGGCGTTGATCCTTTTGAAATGATCTGCGATGATGCCCAAATTGCTGAGTGGAATAACCAAGGCTTGCCAAGCGATCGCATGTCTGCTGAGAACGCCGCTATCCTTGTGCAGTCTGAGAGATACCCGCTCATGATAGATCCCCAACTGTAAGTTAAACAATTAATACAGAAAAGATTTTGTTAAAAATTATTGATTCATTCCAGTCAGGGAATCAAGTGGGTGAAAACTAAATATGGATCTGGTCTTGTTGTTTTACGTCTTTCGCAACGAAACTACCTTGATCAAGTTGAGCGGGCCGTAAGTAATGGTAATACGTTGTTAATTGAAAACATCGGGGAAAACGTCGATCCTGTTCTTAATCCACTTTTGGGTCGTCAGTTGATCAAAAAGGGAACTATTTTGAAAATTGGCGATCGCGAAATTGATTTTAATCCAAAATTTCGTTTAATCCTTCATACTAAGCTTGCGAACCCTCACTATAAGCCTGAAATGCAGGCACAGACAACTTTGATAAACTTCACCGTGACACGTGATGGTCTAGAAGATCAGTTGTTAGCAGAGGTTGTTAAAGTCGAGCGTCCCGACCTAGAGGCCATGCGAACTCGCTTAACGCAGCAACAGAACCACTTCAAAATAACACTTAAGTTTCTGGAAGACGACTTGCTTGCACGTTTATCTTCAGCAGGCGATAATGTTCTCGAAGATGTCACTCTGGTTATGAATCTTGAAAAAACTAAAAAAACTGCGGACGAAATTGAAGTAAAGGTTGCAGAGGCAAAAATAACAGGTGTCCAGATCGATTCTGCTCGGGAAGCTTATCGTCCAGCAGCTGAAAGAGCCTCTATTATTTATTTTATTTTAAATGACTTATTTAAGATCAATCCTATCTACCAGTTTTCTCTCAAAGCGTTCACAGTAGTGTTTAACAACGCAATGCTAAAGGCAGCAACAGCTGAGAAGCTTAAAGATCGAGTAGAAAACCTTATTGATTCGATCACCTTCTGTAGTTATGTGTATACGTCTCGTGGATTGTTTGAGCAAGACAAACTAATTTTCCTGACACAGATGTGTATTCAGATCCTAGTTAATGCTGGTGAGGTGGAGCCTAGTGAGCTAGATTTTTTGCTACGATTTCCATATATGCCAAATCAGACTTCAAACTTTTCCTGGCTCACTCATGTGGGTTGGGGCGGTATAAGGGCACTTAACAATCATTCTGCTTTTAAGGGGTTGGAGAAGGATATTGAGGGATCACACAAACGGTGGAAAAAATTTGCAGACTCAGAAAGTCCAGAGAATGAAAAATTTCCTGGCGAATGGAAGGGAAAATCACCAATCCAAAGACTCTGCATAATGCGTTGCATACGACCAGACCGTATGTCATATGCTATGCGCTCCTTTATCGAAGAAAAGCTCGGATCAAAATATATTGATGCACGCTCTATGGAATTCGCGAAAACTTTTGAGGAGTCTAGCCCAGAAACACACATGTTTTTTGTTCTCTCTGCTGGTGTTGATCCTCTGAAAGATGTTGAAAAGCTAGGTAAGAGTCTGGGATTCAGTTTTGACCATGAAAATTTTCATAGTGTATCGCTTGGCCAGGGCCAAGAAATTGTGGCCGAGAACGCAATTGAGATAGCCTCCCAGCAAGGTCATTGGGTCATTTTACAAAATATACACCTTGTTGCGCGTTGGTTACCCAGCCTTGAAAAGAAAATGGAGTCTTCTCTTAGTAATGTTAATATTAACTATCGACTTTTTTTGAGTGCCGAACCCGCTGGTGATCCTTCGGCTCACATATTACCTCAAGGAATTCTGGAATCTGCTATAAAGATAACAAATGAGCCACCGACAGGAATGATGGCTAACATTCATAAAGCTTTAGACAATTTTAGCGATGAGACGCTTGAGATGTGCTCAAAAGAGACAGAATTTAAGGCGATTCTTTTCTCTCTGTGCTATTTTCATGCTGTGGTTGCTGAGCGGCGAAAGTTTGGCCCTCAGGGCTGGAACCGCGGGTACCCCTTTAATGTGGGTGATCTTACGATATCTGTGTACGTTTTGTATAACTATCTGGAAGCCAACACTCGCGTACCTTGGGAGGACCTTCGTTACCTTTTTGGGGAAATCATGTATGGAGGACACATAACTGACGACTGGGATCGACGGCTTTGTCGTACCTATCTCGAAGAGTTTATGCAGCCAGAGTTAATTGATGGAGAGTTGCAGTATTGCCAGGGTTTCCCGGCACCGGGGATTCTAAAGTATGCTGGATACCACCAGTATGTAGATGAAAACCTTCCGTCTGAAAGCCCTTCACTATATGGCTTGCATTCAAATGCAGAGATTGGATTTCTCACCACAGTTTCTGAACGCCTTTTCCGAATTGTTTTCGAATTACAGCCGCGTATGGCAGGTGGTTCAAGTGGCGGAGGTGATTCTGTTTCCCAAGAGGATGTCATAAAGGGCATTATCGAAGATCTACTGGACAAAATTCCAACGCCTTTTAACATTCTTGAGCTTATGGGTCGTGTTGAGGATCGCAACCCTTACATAATTGTCGCCTTTCAGGAGTGCGAACGCATGAACCTTCTTATGGCTGAGCTACGACGCTCTCTGAATGAACTTGACTTGGGCCTTAAGGGAGAGCTAACTATCTCATCTATTATGGAGGACCTGATGCTTTGTCTTTACAAAGATCAAGTGCCTGAGCAGTGGACCAAATTAGCCTATCCAAGCATGCTAGGACTTCAGTCGTGGTTCTCTGATTTAATGTTGCGGTTGCGAGAGCTTGAAGGATGGGTGGCAGATTTTCGTATGCCGTCTTCTATTTGGCTTGCAGGATTCTTCAATCCGCAGTCACTACTTACCGCCATTATGCAGCAGACAGCACGCAAAAATGAGTGGCCTCTTGATCGAATGTGTCTTAACTGTGACGTAACCAAAAAATGGAAGGAAGAGTTTACGTAAGAATTCTTATTAGCTATAAAATGGTCTGAATAATATTCTTCCGTTATCCGTAGGGCGGCACCTCGCGAAGGAGCCTATGTCAACGGGCTTTTTATGGAAGGTGCTCGATGGGATGCAAAGATGGGCACCATAGCAGATGCTTTTAACAAAGAACTTTTTCCTGCCATGCCAGTTATTTACATTAAAGCAGTAACCCAGGATAAGCAAGACACTAAAAATGTATATGAATGCCCAGTCTACAAAATTCGGTACGTACGGCACATAAACAAAAATTCCTGGACTTACAACTAATTTCGCAGTTAAAGTGCCCCAACCCAAAATCATGGGTTGATTTTATTGTAATCTACTATATACCTACGTAACTCGTTACTGCTCTACAGTAAATCCAACCACGATTCTGCTGTAAATAGAGTACGCTAAAAGGCCTTAAATTACCACCACCACTTCGGCACGCCGAAGTTTGTATACCGTTGCAGTTTGCAATTGGGTCATAAAAATCGATTCATTCTGGTCAAATAAATAGAAAAATAAATTAAATTAAAAAAAATATTAGGAATTATATAAAACTTGTAGACATATACATAGCATTTAATAATTTGTGTTTGATAAAATTTAAAAAAAAAAAGATTAATTGTATAAAAAAACTATATTTTAGATTTGAAATATCTACTATAGAATAAACATTATAAATTTAAGTGCTATACTCTTTGATTTTACCTATTTTTTTTTGTATTTAGAGTTTGACAGTTACAGTTGTAGATTAGAAGTTTTACATTTTTCTGTACATCTTGCGATCATAGCTATATGATATTGTCGTCCGATTTAAAAACAATTAAAACCGAAATTCTGAAATAATAAAAAAAAGCTCATATCTAAGAGTAGATGAAAATACTTTGAATAACAACTAGTTATAATTTTTTTCTTTTCATTTCCCGAACGGCACTATGACAGCTATAAGATATAGTAGTCCGATTTTCATATTTAATCTAATCTAATAGCCATATCTCAAAAATGATGAAAATATGTTGAAAAAAAGCCTAGGTATAATTGTCGATCATTTGCATGGCAGCTATATGATATAGTCATCTGATCCGACCCGTTCCGACATATGTATGTATACTGCAATGAGAGTGCGTAGAAACGGACAGACGGACATGGCTAGATCGACTTGGCTATTGATGCTGATCAAGAATATATAGCTCTTATAGGGTCGGAAATGTCTCCTTCACTTCGTTGCAAACTTCTAACTAAAATTATACTTCCCTTAAAGGGTATAAAAATTTAATCATAACTAGACCGACCTTAGTTAATTCGAAAAATTCTTAATACCAAACATTATTAATTATTATGTTTTGGTCTTCTTAAGGGGGTATATAAATTAATTAATATATTATATCGACTGTGTATTGCCGGCGGCAATAGAGATTCCTCAGACGGTCCCTCGCAGTTGCAGATATAGATCGGGAGCGGGTGATAATATTCGCCGCTATGTTGCAGGCCGGTTGGCCTAGGTTTTGCCAAGGTAAGTTACAGCAGATGATCCACTGGGCGCAGGGGACGTGTCCGCTGCGATGGTCACTAGCCGGTTGGCTGACGAATCTCCCAAACAAGTTATGAAGATTACGTTGGAAGGGGGACTACCCTTCTTTAACTACTGGCCTAGAGACTCAGAAAGTTTTCAAATGATAAATCTTTAACGACGGTAGTCGGAGTGTGATAAATTGAGCAGCAGCTCTTTATTGTATGAATATAAAATCAGAACTGAACTTAAAAGCTAACAAAAGTAAATATCATAGCGGCCACTCCAATGGGTAGTGCTTGCCGGCTATGCATGAGCTTCCGGCCAGACGCTGTGTCAGCAGTTTGGCCGGAGCGAGCTTTCGGGCGGACGGTCATTGCCGTTGCCCGGCTGAGTTAGTTAACTACTCCCCCCTCAGGAACAAGGCCGCCCTCGGCCGACCCTATTTGGGCAATCATCTCTGTTATCTGGGCCGTAGATCTCCTGGCCTGGATGACTCGCCGATAGGTTAAGCCGACGCAGATCAACGCGCAGCATATGGCTCCTGCCACTAGTACTATCTGATGTGAATGATAGTCGTTGATATCCTCCCCGAACCTCTTAATATGCTCCAGGTTACGCTCACTCAAGCGGTGAAGGTAAGGGAGGCTGAGTATATCATGTTCTAGGGTGATATTGAGAGAGGGCGCGCTAGCCACTCCTGGGACCCTCTTTTGGGCCGCGCCATAGTTGGCGTACCGGGTTTCATTGACCGTGGCGCATTCGGCAAAGGTGACAAGGTGGGTTCCTTGCAGGTGAACGCAAGTGCCATTGTCCACGCACACATGAGCCGGGCGATCGTTGATAATGATAATACCTTCGTCCACGAAGTTGACCGGATGCAGGTCGCTGGGTTGAATGTCGCAGTGTGCAACCCGTCCAGCGTGGAGTTCTTGGGCGCATGATCTTCTTTGCGCCAGACGACAGAAAGTGGCTCCCGTTGTTATAGAGCAATTCTGGACTGTATGAATTTCTCCGCTGCAATCCGCAATGATCTGGTCCTCCAGTCTAAGCATTGTGTCATGATGTGACACGGGGAAAACAGTGATTTTAACGCAAGCTGACTTGACTTTAGGGAATTTAATAATAAAGTGCAAAATGTTAATGGACTGTAATATCTTGACGGACGCAACGGATAAAATGTCTTTAATAGGGGTATCGGTGGGCTCCTCAATCCACACATTTTCCAGGTCTGCATGATCTAGAATGCTAGGGCTAACGACATTGACTTTGGCAAGAGCCACTGCCAGTAATAAATTCTGCAGCTCCATTGCAATCATTCTGTTGCGGGACAATAACATCTCATACAGGTGTCCCGAGTCAATTTGGGAGTCTTTAGCCGACCTCAGAATTTGATTAACAGTGGCGGTGATACTATTGATTTGTTCTTGAATTTTATTGTTAATATTAACCTGTCTATTGTTTGCGTTTATGAGTTGAAATTCGGTAAGTTTAATCTTCTCAAAATCCTCCGCGTCTGGCGTTCCCGCCACTACCTTTAGTGCCGTCCCTAAGAAGTCTAAACTTCTAGCTACCCTATGGTGGATGCTCAATGAATTGAGCAGGTCACGCAGGTGAGCGACATCTACGCTCAAAAGTTTCTGCATGTGGGACTGGGGAAACATGTTAAGCATGCCACCAGTCTCTTCCACCACGCGCCTATATTCTGAGAGGTTTGCTGAATGTTTCACGAATGCAAACTCTTCCCATACTAAAATTCGACCATCAATGATGGGAATGTACTTGGCCTGCGAGTAGTCCGTGACGTGTGCCGATGTTAAGGTCAAAAGGAATAACAGAGGTAAAGAAGTGAACCTGTAATATTAGTATTTATTGTAGTGTTTATCAAAATTTAAGTAGCCCACCACCAAACACGTAAAATAAAGCGTAGCGAATAAAAATTGGTATAAATGAATAATGAAAAATGAAAACCATGATAATAATAAAACTTGTGCCAAGCGGCTAAAGAAACTAAACATAGAAAAAAAATGGAAAAAACTATGCCAAGTGGCTAGGAATAAAAAGTATGATATAAAAACATATGCCAAGTGGCTAATGATAAAAAATATAAAAAAGATGGTAAAAATTATCAGACGAATGTCGGTAAGATCAAGCTTCGTCTACCTAAGGTTGTCTTTGTGGACAACCCTCCCCTTAATGAGGACTGTGGTCCCCATGTCCGCTTCCACAACTTTCTCTTCACACAATGGGGAGAGTTTGTTGCCCAGTCGTCTGTTTGATTTAACCAGGACTTTTTCGCCAACGTCGAACACCCTGTTTTGTCGGGAAGCATTTTCCCTGTTCCTGAGCTTATCCTGGGCAAGTTTTATCTTATCCTGAACCTCATAAAGCGGCTCATCCGACTGTGCTTGAATGACATCGGCCGGCCTCTTGTCGATGACCGAATGGATAGATTTATTGTATCTGGCTGTGGCCAGCAGGATTAGCTCCACGGTGTCACTGATACCTTTATCGATTTTAAGGCATCTGGCAAGCTCCACCAGAGTGCTGTGGAAACGCTCCACTTGTCCGTTCGAGACACTGTGGAGGGGCGGTGCGTTTGAAGCGCTGACGCCGAAATGGTTTTCCAGCATGGTCAAAATAGTGTGCGAGTTCAACGATGGTTCGTTGTCGCAATATATGACTTTGGCTTTAGGGAAAACATTCATCAGCATTAGTAATGCCGGTTTTAGATCCTCTATGGTTCTAGATGGAACTGGTTGGACCATGGCAAATTTCGAGAATTTGTCAATGCGTGTAAGGAAATACTTTTTGTCCGTGGAAAAAATATCTATATGTAGCATTTCCCCTACATGAGATGGGACTGGCGTTTCGCCAAGCTCATGCTTCTTGGGATGTCTATCATATTTGGCCTTAGCGCATGTTCTACAATTAGCGACGATTTCGTTCGCCAATTTAGTCATTTTTGGGAAGTAGTACTCTGAGAGTACTTGCTTAACATTTTCCTGGGCCGATCTGTGGGCCCTATTATGTTCGGCAGTGAGGACTTCTCGTCTCTCAGCGACCGCAAAAATGTCCGTGACACGTTTTTTGCAGTGCCAAATTTTGGTGGCTGGGAATTGCCGAACCAATTCATCCTGTATCATCGCTAGCGTGTGCAAATCGCAATGAATGGCGTTTACGCCTTTAGGGACGATAATGTCTGCGAGTTCTTTCAGCAACGACTCCTTGCATACGAAGTTGATGTCGTGCCGTCTCTTATTTCCGAAGAGAACGAAGCTGCGCTTGGACGGAAAGCGTGCTTCCTCCAGAGTTATCTGGTTTTGAAAGCAATTAAGGGGCTTGTCCGTAGTTTCAATTGTGTGGGTAAGCGACAGCTCACTGTGAATTGTGGCTGCGCTTGAAAAAGCTTCCTCCTCTCCCAGAACGTTAAGTTGCTGTCTGGAGAGGGCATCTGCGATTATCTTTGCCGGGCTTGTAAAAAATTTTAGCACCGGACTCGTCGATGCGAGCTTTCCACCTTTTGATTTTTGCGTTCGGATTGGATTCCGACACTGCAAAGGTCAAGGGCTTTGACTGCGTATAAATAGTGGCGCAACTTGGCCAGCGCCCAAACTATGGCTAATAGCTCCCTTTCATTGGTAGCATAATTAACTTCTCTGTCCTTAAGGGTCCTCGAGATCATAGTGATAGGTCGTCCCTCTTGGGATAGCACTGCGCCAATGCCGT